CAAGCTAATGGTCCATTTAAAACCAAACACACTAAATGCATAGAATAGCACCACTATATCTTTTTGACTATAAATTGTGTCCTTTTTCCAAAATGAGCTTCACCCTTTAATAGAAAATACTTAAACCAGCAATTGAGATTAACTAAACAGGAAAATGTTCACTGAACTACATCTGAATAGGTTCATTTTCTCATAGGTTTTTCTACATTATAAGTTATGAAACCAGAGAAGTTCCCTTCAGCTGCCATCAAAAAGAATGCATAATAATGACGCTTTGCTGTGGCTTCAGTCTTTTATCTTTTTTATACAGTCTATTAGTGTTTAGCACTGCTTTTTCATTCATAATTTGAATTTATAGTGTGAATCACTGTTTGCCGTACCACACAATAATATGCATTTTATACATTAACAGGTATCATTAATCGTTCTTTGCTCTCATTCCACATGCTCAAATACTGAAGCAGAGCTCTTCACCTCTGTTTTCATCTAAACTTTCAGTCCAGTTTTTCACATAACTTGACTTTTGTGTAGAGAGAAGCTCTCTGAAGTGCTCAAGCAGATTGAGATTCTGCATTTGCTGCGACCACAGCACAGCAGACATCACTTTTATCATTTGGTGGTCATGTGTGCCTGGTGATCGACGACAATACCACCCAGCGAGAATTTACCTCCATTAGGATGGCAAGGATAACACGGATGGATGTTATCCTTGGATGAACTGTTCATCCATAGGACGAGCATTATCACTCAGAATGGCTCTGAATTTACTGGCATTTATCTCTGGGGGGTTCAATGAGCCTCAACAATGCCAGGAAAACACACTCCACGCTGTAAAGGAGCTGCCTAAACCATTCACGGTGGAAAACAAGCAGCACTCGATCCTGTAGACATTTATTGGTGTGTGCCACACACAGTGCTTGTCACCTTGTTGAGCACGAGACAGCGACTGATTATGCCACAGCACATGACATATTCACCATCACTTTATACTTGCAAATGTGCACCTGAAGGGTAATAAAGGGTTTTATGCATGGTTACAGATGCATAATTCCCCCTACTTGTATTCAACAAAATATTTTGCATGTGACTGTCGCTTTTTGAGTATCTTCTTCCTTTCACTATGCTTATGTCTCATTCTTACATATACTGTCTTTAACCACATCTTGACCAAAGATAATCTGATTACTTTTGTCAAGTAATTAGTAAAGTAAGGGATTACTATTGCAAAAAAGTAATTTGATTACTGTCACTTTCCTGTAAGCACTCTGCGTTACTGCATTACTAAACCGTGATTTTGTTTGTGAGAGTCTCTCATGACAATGACGTGCGAACGTGCGACATCAGCAACAGACGTGTGCAGATCAACAATGGATAATATGGAATGTGGGAGAGAGTACGACCATGCAGCGTTTAAAGCTTGAAAGTACTGACATTAGCGTCCACTGTACACTCTGTGTGGGAAGAAAACTTCTTTATACAGGGAAAAATTAAATGTGGCTCCTAGCACGCTGCCACAGGAACGTGAAATTCACAGAGAAACCCCGGGATCCCCCCACTGACATGACCTGCTAAACAGATGAAAATAGACTTACTAGAGACCGATAGAAGCGACCAAAGAGTCAGGTGAAGGGATGGGTATTGTTTAGGTTTTATCCGATACAGGTGCCAAACCGGTACTTTTGAAACGGTGCCGGTGCTTAAACGGTGCTCAAACCGGTGCTTAAAGAATG